GGGAGGTTTATATCACGAGCCGAAGGCGAGTGATATAATCCCACGAGCTAAAAAACATTTTTTCACGAGTTACGAACAATATTTTTCATCACAATGTGGCGGAAATTGGACTTTTAGGCACGCGGAGCGTGCCGAAAAGTTCACTTTTCGTCACAGCGTGATGAAAAGTTATTGATATGCAGGGGATACAATTTTTTTGTGTAATGAGAGAAAAAATTTGCTCTGCCGAAAAAGTGCATGCTCCACGTGAGAATATTTGACGGAGTGGAACAGATTTACTTGAGGAAAATTAACCAACTTGATAGAAGGAGATTTAATATCCTTCACAAAAATTGAATTTTTGTCGTGATCATCAGAAATTTCCCTAGAAGAATTCGAACTGCTGGCAGGAAAAAATATAATCTATTGAACGACAATCATTTGATCTGAGAGAACTCCATAGGTTTATACCATAGAAAGAATATATAATTGACGAGGAAAGAATATTTTTTTCCCAAAGAAAAATTGTCCTCGAAATTATTTAGTTTTGCCAATAACACAGTTTTCGGCAAGTAAATTGATTCAACACGACAAAAGATTTCTTCGGGGGAACATATAAGTTTTCGGCAGAACTAATTTTTTCTGTCAACTTTAATTCGTAAGCTACCGACGCTTTTTTACTAATAACTAAAAAATTTCAGTAGTGAAGCGGTCAAACGAGTGAGCTGAGTTCTTGGGAAATATCTCCGAATCTAAGGGAGATAGAAAATTTTCGTGGGAATGTTTTTTGTAGAGCAAATTGAGAGCTACAAAAAAGGTTATAACAAAGATGTTGCTATCTGCCTTAGATTCCGAGAGATTCACTGAAAACTTAGCAATAACATTTTGGGGAGAATAAAAAAATACTCTGACGAAAGCACGCTGAAGAATGTTTTTTACCCTTTGAGTTCCACACTCGGGGTACCCCTGAGCCCCGCTGATCCTCAATACATTGACTGTCCCTCCATTCCCCCGAAAGAAACAGCGATCGTAGTAGCCATAGGTGTAGATTCTACCGATGAAACCCTCGGGAGTCCTCAACGTGAATTCCATCCCATCTTCATTGCACACTTGGCTGACTGAGTAATATCCCAAATTATTAAGTTGTCTCATAAAATTACTGAATCCTCGAATTATCGGAGAGGAAAAAAGTTTCTAAATTCCGGCAAAAGTATCAGAATTTAGCAATCGATAAAAAAATCGCAAGATATTTTAATGAAATTACAGGTTTTTGATTCAGAACATTGGAGTTCTTAAATTGATAGCTTTCACTGCTATTTATTCCTGATTTTTACTACTAATTAGTGAGAACTAAATTTTAATCTCAACTTAAAAGTGTTGCTCTATAAATCGCGAATTCCACGATTCGCGTTAAATCGCGAAGTCCACAATTCGCGTTAAATCGCGACGTTAACATCATTCTGAGAAGTGCTAGTTAAGTTGAAATAGATTTTTTTCCATGTTAATAATTCTTTGTTTCATGTTAATAATTTTTCACGTTAGAAAAGCCACACAATTTATTCCTATTTTATAAGCGTCCCATAAACATTTATTAACGTTTATGGTACATTAATTTTTTGCGTGGAGCGTCCCCTTTGTTCTCCGAAATCATGTGAGACATACCATCAAGACACTCGCCGTCAGCGCCCTGTCTCCCATTATTCCGTTCATAAAAGTCGTAATCCGATGCTGTATCATAATAAATCGGATTCCCCATGGCCATGTCCCTGGAGTCTCGGTCGCTAAGTTCGCAGTTGTCCCTCTCGGCTCCGTACGGCGCAGCGTAGGGCCGGAAATTGAACGATCTGCATACGAAATCCCTCGCGTCGGCGCACTCGCGCTCGCACTCGGGCAGCGTCGAGGCGGTTGTGTAGCGCCTCACGAAGGACTTGCGAACGCGCATCCCCTGGCTGACTTGACGGAAATTCTCCTGCTCGTCGCAGCGAGAAAGGAGAGGAGGTCGACCGATGATCGGACCGCCCCCGGTACCGACCGGTCGGGCGTTGTAGGGGTCCCCCTCGGGCATGAGCCCGTCCATTCCGCCGTCGTATCCACCCAGACTGACGGGCCTGACCGGCAGGGGCCCAGGGGGGCCCGGGTAGTGGGGGCGTTCGTATCCCTTCGTTCCACGCACGTCGTCCTCGTAGCCTGGGTACAAACCGTTACCTCCCAGGTGCGGGGTATATCTTCAGGAACAACGAAAAATTTTTGGCTTTATTTTTCTTCTGAAGTTTCAAATTTCGCCTGAATTTTTCGTCCCAATTTCCGGAATTTTTATCGTTTTCAAGTTCACGGGAAAAAAATACTTCAATTGAGTATAGAATATACAATATCGTCGGTTTTAATTGTCGTCTGAATTTTCCGGGCCAAATTCCGGAAATTTTTATCGTTTTCAAGTACATGGAAAAAAATGCACTTGAATTGAGTATAAAATATGGTTGAGTAAAGTATATTTTGTTTCCGGGAATTCCACTGAAATTTCAGGAAATCTTGTCGGTTTTAATTGTCGCCTGAATTTTCCGGGCCAAATTCCGGAAATTTTTATCGTTTTCAAGTAAATGGAAAAAAATAAACTTGAAGTGAGTATAAAATATGGTTGAGTAAAGTATATTTTGTTTCCGGGAATTCCACTGACATTTCAGGAAATCTTGTAGGTTTTAATTGTCGCCTGAATTTTCCGGGCCAAATTCCGGAAATTTTTATCGTTTTCAAGTAAATGGGAAAAAATGCACTTGAATTGAGTATAAAATATGGTTGAGTAAAGTATATTTTGTTTCCGGGAATTCCACTGAAATTTCAGGAAATCTTGTCGGTTTTAATTGTTGTCTGAATTTTCCGGGCCGAATTCCGGAAATTTTTATCGTTTTCAAGTTCACGGGAAAAAAATATACTTGAATTGAGGATAAAATATAGTTGATTCAAGTATTTTTTCCGTGAATTCCACTGAAATTTCAGGAAATCTTGTCATTGAAAACTAAAATATTCCATTTTCTATTCAAATGATCTGGAAATCAATAAAATACTTGATTTTTCAGTTCAATTATTCTGTGAAAATTCCGAAAAATCCGGAAAATTGAGGGAAAAAATAAACAAGAAAAATAAAATTTCGTAAAAAAATAAGGTGAACACTTTAAAATTCGCATTTGAAGTATTCTGGGGGCTTTTCTAAAACTCAACGATTTTTTTCCAGAAAAATCAGATGTTCGAACAAAAATTCAGTGATTAATCAATTTTTAGTCATTGTTAAATAAATAAATTAATGAATGAATTAATTAATAAATGAATAAATGAATAAATGAATAAATGAATAAATAAATGAATAGATAAATAAACGAATAAAGACATAATAAATAAATAAATGAAAGAATAAAAACCTGTCACGATGTGGATACGGATCCTTCTCAGGATACCGATCCCCAGGATATCTCCCCGTAGGCAATCTGGATCCTCCAGCACCCCCGCCACTAGGATAACGCGTCAGTGGATCCTCGGGTACGGGATACCGACCCCCAGGGCTCGGGTAATCATCCCTGATGGGGTACCGATCCGCGGGCGCTGGGTACCGACCCCCGCTGCCGACTGGATACCGGTTACCCACTGGAGGGTACCGGTGCCCCGGGTACCCCGGGCTCGGGTAGTTCTCCCCGTTGACGGGCCAGCGGTCCCCGCGGATGGGGTACCTGTCCCCCACGAGGGGATATCTGTCCGACGGGTAACGATCGCCGGGGTATCTCTCGGGCTTGTGCTCCGGGTAACGGTCGTCCGGGTAATGACTGGGGTATTTACTGCTCGGGTATCTGTCCCCCGGGAGGGGGTAGTGATCCGGGTAACGATCTCCGTGGGAAAGCGGATAGTTTTTGTCGTAATCGTCGGGATATCCTGATTAAAACGTTGGGAATTAAAAAAGTATTTGAAGAACCAAAAGATGAATCTTTACGGAGGAAAAGAGTTTTGATTTTCAGGGTCATGTGACCACAGAGAAAAGAACTGGTTATTTTTTCTCCAGGGAAATGCTTTTCTACTTCTGTAATCGAACATCAGAGCTTTCATCGAGCCCCATTTGACCTTAAGCTTCCCGACATTTTACAATGATTTTATAATTTGAACTTTGCGGATCTGAATTTGAATCTCGATATCGAACCGTTAGAAAACAGTTTGAAAAACTGGAAAAAATAGAAAGCTTACTTTTGGAGGAAGATGATGAAATAACTTGATAACAAATATTTTTGAAAGTTACAAGCATTTTCAATAAATAATTTATAAACAACTAATAAAATGTCGCATTATCTCTCTATATTATGAAAATCCAAATCGACTTCTGGTGATGAAAATTTGGTACTCGAAATTAAGACTCCAAAATAAAGGGTCACAAGGGTCAAAATAAGGGCCATGGAGGTCAGAATAAGGGTCATGAGGCTCAGAATAAAGGTCATGAGGTTCAAATTAAGGATCATGAGGGTCGCAAGGGTCAAAATAAAAGACTAAATACGGGTGGCAAGGATCAGATTAAGGGTCACAAAAGTCGGGTTAAGGGTTCAAATAAGGGTCATGGGGGTCGAAAACTAAGGGTCACAAGGGCTAAAATGAGGGTCTCTATCTCTCTACATTATAAAAATCCAAATCGCCTCCTGGTGATAAAAATTTGGTACTTAAAATCACGACTTCAAAATTAAGGGTCAAAAATGAAAGGTCAAGGATCGCGAGGGTTAAATTAAGGGTTACAAGGGTCAGAATAAGGATCATGGTGGCCATATGGGGGTGGGCGAGGGGAGCGAGCAGGGGGCGCAGCCCCCTAGTGACATGACTAAAAATCCGAACTTGATCATCTCTGTATTGATTCTTTGATAAACTGATGATCTGGTTAATTACCGGGACGTCCGAGGAGTGGGCGTCCGACGTTGGTGTCCTGACCCACTGGATCCGGTCGGTAACCCGGGTTATCCCTGTCTCCATCTAAATATTGGTCTACACGGTGGAGAAAAATGAGGAAAAATTACTGAAAAAGTCAAGTAATCGTAAAACAAAATTCAGTTCTCGGTTTTCTAACTCCATATCAAGAGAAAAAAATACAAGACGAAAGGCTAATTTTCTCCACTTCCTCCAAAAAATTAATGATTCTCAGGTAAATCATTCCGAATCGTGCGATGTCCTCCGCAAAAAGTATTTTTCAATGAATTAATATTTCGCTGCGATTTTCTAGATAATTTTTATCCAACTATTCTCTCAGTTTATCGACGAATAGCTCTTGACATCACCTGCACAGCGAAAAGAGAGGTAAAAGAAGTTGAAATGCTCACGCATGAGATTCTCGTAGTAATCAGAGTCAGCGTCGTACATGATTCTGTGCCCATCCCGCTGATTGAATCTACTGAGACGACAGCTCTTGTAGTGCTCGGAGTACACAGCACTCCGGCACTGAAAGCTAGTCTGTCTGAGACACTCATCCAAGCACTCGCTCAGGCTCCTACCCGTGATCTCCGAGTGGGTCTCCCCGCTGAGGCGGGAGTTCCGGTACCGCTGGAAGGCTGTGTCTGGACGTCTGCCGTCGGGGTAGAGGTGGGACGCGACGTTGTTGTCGGGGTACTCCGAGCCACGGGCTGCGGAAGAATGCTGTCAGAAGGTGGCATTTCCTCAAGGTTTATACCTCAATATTCCCAACGAATTAACCCCCATGGAGAGGATAACGTATGTGGAAATGAGTCCTATATGATTTTAATATTCAAGTTGAACCGTATTATTTTTGAGGAGAAAAATTTGTGTCCAATGTGGATGTTAGTTCAAAATTCATGTGGGTTTTGCTTTCTAAAAAAAGCATGGGCAATATCTCGAACGAATGGAGCACAATTGCCTTGCGTCGAATTTTCATGAAGCTTGAATACCATTCTATGAAACAAAAATCGTAAAAATCGTAAATTCCCCAAGAATTGATTGCAATTGAATTTAGAAATCCTTTAGTTCTCGAGAAATCTGCCTAAATATTATTTGTATTTTTTTAAAATTATTACTGTTCTATCGAAATTGTCTCTTGAAGAAGATCTACTCAGGACTGTTAATCCCGGGCGATGAAATTTGCAAGATACAGTTCATTCTCTCGAAAATATTGAGGTGAAATGTAATAGCACTCTAGAGTTGATTTAGAATATTCAAAGTATCATCTCTATGTTCCCCATTTTCACAGTGACTCAATTCAGAAGAATGAGCAATTCTAAAAATGCGCGCAAGTGAAAAATTGGGGAGGTACGCACGGTTATCCAAGCACACGAGATCGTAGAAGTGGTGCGACGGGCTGAGGCTCATCCCAATGTCGTCCTTCTGGGACACTGAATCCTCCTCCGATATAACGCACTGTCGAGTCTGCTCGTCGTACTCGACACTGCGACAGAAATACTTCTCCACGCGAAGACACAGCGCCTGACACTCATCTAATGTCACGTTTGTGTAAATGTCGACCTCGAAGGGCCCGCGGAAGCGCTTGTTCTCTTCTTTTACGAATACTGCTAATCCATCGCAGCGGCGTTCAGCTAGAGAGGAGTAATATTCTTTCTCATGTCATTCCTCCGTCTTACAAGTTCATGAAAAAATGTTGTCTATCCCCGATATCAATTTTTCACAACGAAAATCATTTCAGTTGTGAAGTGGGAAACGGAGATAAGTCGACTCATCTCCCAGTTGAGTTTTTGAGGAATATTTCCAAATCTAAGAGAGATAGCGAAATTTTCGTAACTACATTTGTTGTAGCACTCAATCGGCTCCACAAAAAAGATTATAACAAAAATTTTGCTATCTCCCTTAGATTCCCAGATATTGATTGAAAACTGGTCGATAGTCAAAATTGACTCATCTCCTTTTACCACTTCGCTACTGATTTCTTCGGAGTCGTAACAAATTTATTCATGTTCAGAATTCTACCAGAAAGTTCAAACAATTTCAATTATTTATTTATAAACAACGAATGTTTAGACAAATAATAATTCTGGGTAAAATGTTTGTCTCTCGCAATTTAATTGACGAATTTGATTATTGGAAACGGTTGAATTGTCATGTTCCCACAGTAAAAAATAATTTTAAATTCGTTCCGTTTGATTATAAAATGAATAAAAATGATTATGAAAGAATGGAGAAACCTTTAAATACGATGATTCATTGAGACATTGTTGAAATAATTGTAATTTCCATTTGCTCATTAATCACATGTGTAATTTCCGTAAAGATGTCATCAAAAATAATTTTACTGTTGATCTCTCATAAAATTTGGGTACAGAAGAATGAATTTGTGTACCGAACGCAGTAAAAAGCGTCATAATGTGTCCCCAATCCGAGAGGAAGAAGGAAATTATCTTGAAAACCAAAAATAAGTTGATTGCAGCCACGAATGGTCTTATGATGACAATTGATGGTTATAATGATCGAATTGAACAATTTTTTCGACACATGCTCACCATTCAAGCATGTGTTCTCCAGGTAATCGGAGTTTGCGTCATCCTCGAGTAATTCCGGATGAGTTCTGCGGGTGAAGCGACTCAATAAGCAGCTGCGGGTCATCGAGTCGAAGGTGGCGGAGCGACAGATGAAGCTGAATTCATTCAAACACCTGGGGAACAACGAAAAAGGTGAGGATGACAAAACATCGTTCGGGTTTGTGTTATTCTCGGGAAATTACCTGTCCTCGCACACTGTTCTGTTGGGCGCGCTCACTTCCTTCACGTCAGTCGCCGGAAGTTTCAGTTTTTTTCGGGGATGTCTCTCGAAGACGTATCGACGGTTCGGACAATTCCTCTCAATTTGGTTAGCTGATGTGGTTAATGGGGAAATTGAGTCATTAATTCACAGAGAAAAAGGTTTTGTTTGTTTCTAACTTTTTTTCTTGATTTATTTTTTAATGTGAGGATAAAGAAAATGAAGTAACAAAATCTTGGAGAAGTTGATTTGAGGAATTTCTATAGAAAAAATTCTATAGCAAGATCAAATTGTGTAAATTTTTTATTAACTGATGTTATGAATAGGGAAATTGAGTCATTAATTCACAGAAAAAAAGGTTTTGTTTGTTTCTAAATTTTGTCGGTTGATTTATTTTTTAATATGAGGATAAAGAAAATAAAGTAACTAAATTTTAAAAAATTTTGGTCAGGAATTTCTGTAGAACGAATTCGATAACAAGATGAAGTTCTACAGATTTCTACTGTTCGGAAGACTCCTCTCAATTTAATTAGCTGATGTGATTAATGGGGAAATTGACTCATTAATTCACCGAAAAAAAGGTTCTATTTGTTTTTAAATTTTTTGCTTGATTTATTTTTTAATATGAGGATAAAGAAAATAAAGTAAAAAAATCGTGGAGAAGTTGATTTGAGGAATTTTTATAGAAAAAATTCTATAGCAAGATCAAATTCTGCATATTTCTGCGGATCGGTCAATTCCTCTCAATTTGATTATCAATCTGAATGTTCAATACAGAATATTTTATTTAAAAAAATCCACGGAATTTGATTTTTCTAGACAATTTATCCTACGAAAAAATATTTTCTCTAGAAATTTCTCGAGTTACATTTTCAAAAATTTTTTTCTTTCACTTATTTTTCAAAATGAGAATAAAAAATGATGAAAATGAAGAATAACAAATATAAAATAAATAATAGTAAACAAATCTTGGAAAATTTGTGTTGAAGAATTTCCCCACAAGAAATTCTAAAATAGATCAAATTCTACAGATTTGTTCTATAAAAGTTTTCCTGCGCGTGATTTCAGTGACTGAATCCCTATAATACCACTTAATGTCAAGAATCTCTCAAAATTGGAGGCATGACTCTACAAATTAATGGTAGAACCTAAGAATGAAGGATCAATTCCTAACAATTAAAACTTTTTTCTCTCCGCGCTGTCTCCGCGAATTTCATACGCCTTGGGAGGAGTTCACTCACAGTTGAGGCAGACCTCCACGAAGTGCACGCTATTGGGGACCAGCATTAGATTCCCTATCCCCTCGGGCATGGCTTGCTCTCTCGTCAAGTAACACGTACTCTCCTCGTACTCGGGTGCACCATTAAACGAATTGATTCGAGTCCCCGGTTGAAAATCAATTGTTGCGCAGGGTCTCGGTAGGTTATTAGAGCCAGCGCGATCACGTAGACACAGGTCTTGACATTTTTCTAGAACTCGGAAGGGCGGCGCCGAGTCTCGTATCTGTAATTGAGTTGGTGGACGAATTTTTTCATTGAATTAAATGATGAAAGTTGCAAATTTGACGAAAAATCTTGGATACAAATTTTTAATTTTGAAAAAGGATAAAAAATTAAGAAATTATGGAACAATTTGAAGATTAATTCCTCGTGAATTATTCATTTTCAATTCATTCATCAAATTTATCAGTTCATTCAAAGAAAATTAATTGCATTTAAATCCAGTCTGTTTTATTAATTTATTTAAATAAAATGAAAGTTGCAAATTTGATGAAAAATCTTGGATACAAATTTTTTATTTTGAAAAAGGATAAAAAATTAAGAAGTTATGGAACAATTTGAATATTAATTCCTCGTGAATTATTCATTTTCAATTCATTCATCAAATTTATCACTTCATTCAAAGAAAATTAATTGCATTTAAATTCAGTCTGTTTTATTAATTTATTTAAATAAAATTGAACGTGTTGGATATGTTGCCTTATTTTTCACTAAGAGATCTTTTGTCGTGTTAAATCAATTTACTTGTGGACACAAAAGAAAGTTTCCACCGCAACACGATAATTTTCGTAGTGGTAATTGTTCTTGTGAGACATTTATATGTCTTTCGGGTAAATACATTCGTTCTACAGAAAATTATATGAGGCTCCGGGTTTATCAAGTGAATGTTATTGAGTAGTGCATATCTTCGTCCAATAAACACTTATAATTAAAGTATAACTGCAACAGTAACCATGTACAGAAACTAAATGTAAACAGGATATTAATTATGCAAAATTCGAACAATTTCTGAAACTACAATCAACGACAGTGTAAATAATTGAATTAAAAATTGTGCACTTTAAATAATAAAATTAAAAAAACACTTATAATTTCCACGGAACAAATGATAATTTCAAGAGGAAACTACAATTTTCTTGCCGATAACTGTGTTATTGGCAAAACTAAATAATTTCAAGGGGACAATTTTTTTTTTGAAAAAAATATTCTTTCGTCGTCAATGTATTCTTTCTATGGTATAAACCGATGAAGTTCTCTCAGACCAAATGATTGTCGAACAATAGATTTTATTTTTTCCTGTCAACAGTTCGAATTCTTCTAGGGATATTTCTGACGATCACGACAAAAATTCAATTTTTGTGAAAGATATTAAATTTCCTGCTATCAAGCTGGTTAATTTCCCTCAAGTAAATCTGTTCCAATGAATGATACACTCATTTCCAAGTAATTCCCATTCTGTGTCACGTCAAGCAGTAATTTTTGCTCGTCAATTCTCATTCATTCGATTAAACGATCCATGAGATATTTCGAAACTCATCCTTACCACTTCGTCGTCGAATCCTTGAAGCTGTTGATCTGGTAATCTCTCGTAAACTACTCTGCCTGCCCCGCCGTTGCACGTCGTTTGAGCTTGAACAGCAGGTTTTTTGGTCAATGAGTTTGGGGAGCGAGGCAATTATGTCATAAACCCGAAAATCGTTACGGTCAATGGGCCCGCGACCTTCGGGCTGACAGGTGACTTCATTACGACTATTGTCTCTATTCCAAATGCAAGCTTTTTTATTTTAGTCGGATTTGCATGATAATTAAGCAGGGATTGTTCGTATGCTTTTGTAGATTTAGTCGAGATTGCATGAATATTATTAGGTTTTGTATGTTGAGGGGAAAAATACTTCTGTGGAAAGAGGTTTCGGGGTATGGAAGAGACGTTTTGGTGCTTGAAGAGGAATTTTCATCAAAATTTACCCTTAAATTCTAGTTATTTAGTTGTTCATTCGAGTCAAGACAGCCGAAGCCAATTACGGGGCTTATAAATTGATTGAAATATAAATTGTACTAAGAAATGTAGAAATTCTGGATTGAAACGAGAATTCCGAAATTTAAAAATTATCTTCCAAAAAAGTTGGAATTTATTATATTTAACTTTACAGAAATGTTGTAAATAATATAAATAGTCTCGAATACAATTTTATTGGGAAAAATATTATGTTTACCAGTTATTGCAAGGTTTTTCCTTTTTTATTAGATTTGCATGATAATTAAGCAGAGATTGTTCGTCTGTTTTTAGAGATTTAGTCGAGATTCCATGAATATTATTAGGTTTTTTATGTTTGAGGGAAAAAATACTTCTGTGGAAAGAGGTTTTGGGGTATGGAAGAGACGTTTTGGTGCTTGAAGAGGAATTTTCATCAAAATTTACCCTTAAATTCTATTTATTTATTTGTTTCTTCGAGTCAAGACAGCCGAAGCCAATTGCGGGACTTATAAATGGATAGAAATATAAATTCTACTAAAAAATTAAGAAATTCTGGATTGAAACGAGAATTCCGAAATTAAAAAATTATCTTCCAAAAAAGTTGGAATTTATTATATTTAATTTTACAGAAATGTTGTAAATAATATAAATAGTGTCAAATACAATTTTTTCCTTTTTCATTATATTTGCATGATAATTAAGCAGAGATTGTTCGTCTGTTTTTAAAGATTTAGTCGAGATTCCATGAATATTATTAGGTTTTTTATGTTTGAGGGAAAAAATACTTCTGTGGAAAGAGGTTTCGGGGTATGGAAGAGATAATTTGATGCGTGAAGAGGAAATGTATCAAAATTTATCCTTAAAATCTACGAAAAAATGTGGTCATCGTAGATTGAACAAGAATTCCGAAATTTCAAAATAATCCTTCAAAAGAGTTTAGTTGAAATTACAATATGTAATTCTACAAAAATGTCATAAATAATATAAATAGTGTGAAATACAATTTTACTGAGAAAAATATAATTATTTTGACTAATTATTTCAAGGTCTCCTTCATTTCAATTGGATTTGAATGGCAATTAAACTGACATTGTTCATTTGTTTTTAAAAATTTCGCCAAAATTGGATGAACATTATCAAATTTTGGGGTACGGAAGACACGTTTTGCTTCACGAAAACAAATTTCTCCCAAAATTTATCCACAAACTCAAATAAAAAATGTGGTAAGCCTAGATTAAAAGGATTTCCTCGCTTTAAAATCACTTAAAAAAAAAATCTATTAAAACTTACAATATTGTACTCCACAGAACTGTCGAGTAAAAAATGTCATTAATGCTGTACAATGAAATTGTCTCGACAAATTATTGCAAATTCCATTCAGATATCTTCAATCTCCAAGAAAAAAAACAGATTTACAGAGAATCTCAAATTTTTAATCTCAAAATTACGACTTCCCAAACAAATAAATATATTGCATAAATTTACGTCTATCGGGCGTAAATAAATATTGAATTCCCAAAATAAAAATGAATTTCAAACTTACCATTGGCGAGCATTTTGAGAATAGTCAGGACCGTAATAGCTTGAACCATGCTGAACATGTTATGAGTCCTTATCATTTTGAGCCTGAGCATGCACAGTACACTATCGAGTGGTCATACCACTTATCAGTTGCTTCTGAGGCACAAATCAAAGGCGAAAGGCGAAACATGATTATATTATCCGAATAAAATGTGAATACAATAAAATCAACTTGATAAATCTATCTCTCGATCTGTGAGTTAATCTCTAATCTGTCTGTCTATCCACTGCTGACTCCGATTTAAAAATCCTGGGAGAGCAATCACTGCGAGCAATCCGACCGGACTGACGAGACAAACTCAGAATGATGAACCACGAAAACAGGAAAATCAACAGGCCAGTGGATTTGGGAGAGGTGGGGTCCTATTACCCCGGGATTAATACATCGTTAGCATGCGATTTCAAGGCTGGGTAATGGCCCATGGGCGCATCCAAACATTTCGTTTTGTAATTTCCCTTCTTCAATAGGTGTTATTTTGAAATATGCGAGTGGCGATCAAGATACCGCGGCCGGAAGCCCCTTTTCTAGCATATCGATTTTATCATAGCTGTCTCCCGGAACACGTGACAATTCACTCGTCATCGATGCTGCTGCGGCGGCGGTGGCTCGACGGCGCGTGTTTAATTAGCGAAAATTTGCGCTGCTGCGGTGAGGAAAAATTAGTTCGGCCGAAAAATTATAGGTTCCCGTGAAGGGATCTTTTGTCGAGCGAATCGATTTACTTGTGGATGAAAAGGGAAGCTTCCGCCAAAACATGATAATTTTCGCAGTTGCAGTGAAAAATGCATATTTCGTAACGAGTGCAAAAAAGTGTTTTTTGGCGAGTGGGAGGTTCATGTCACGAGCCGAAGGCGAGTGATATAATCTCACGAGCTAAAAAACATTTTTTTACGAGTTACGAACACTATTTTTCATCACAATGTGGCGGAAATTGGACTTTTCGTCACAGCGTGACGAAATAGTATATTTCGTAACGAGTGCAAAAAAGTGTTTTTTGGCGAGTGGGAGGTTCATGTCACGAGCCGAAGGCGAGTGATATAATCTCACGAGCTAAAAAACATTTTTTTACGAGTTACGAACACTATTTTTCATCACAATGTGGCGGAAATTGGACTTTTCGTCACAGCGTGACGAAATAGTATATTTCGTAACGAGTGCAAAAAAGTGTTTTTTGGCGAGTGGGAGGTTCATGTCACGAGCCGAAGGCGAGTGATATAATCTCACGAGCTAAAAAACATTTTTTTACGAGTTACGAACACTATTTTTCATCACAATGTGGCGGAAATTGGACTTTTCGTCACAGCGTGACGAAATAGTATATTTCGTAACGAGTGCAAAAAAGTGTTTTTTGGCGAGTGGGAGGTTCATGTCACGAGCCGAAGGCGAGTGATATAATCTCACGAGCTAAAAAACATTTTTTTACGAGTTACGAACACTATTTTTCATCACAATGTGGCGGAAATTGGACTTTTCGTCACAGCGTGACGAAATAGTATATTTCGTAACGAGTGCAAAAAAGTGTTTTTTGGTGAGTGGGAGGTTTATATCACGAGCCGAAGGCGAATGATATAATCTCACGAGCTAAAAAACATTTTTTCACGAGTTACGAACAATATTTTTCATCACAATGTGGCGGAAATTGGACTTTTAGGCACGCAGAGCGTGCCGAAAAGTTCACTTTTCGTCACAGCGTGACGAAAATTTAATTTTTGTGAGAGATATTAAATTTCCTTCTGTCAAGCTGGTTAATTTCCCTCAAGTAAATCTGTTCCACTCCATCTGTTCGGTTTTCCACCGAATTGTTTTTCTCACACACGCACACTCACGCGGAACGTGTGGTTTTTCGGCGGAGCTATTTTTTTCCTCAGTGCGACCTATCGGGGAAAATTGAGACTGTTGACTTTTGGAGAAACGATGATCAGGTATGAAAAAGAAATCGATATCAATCGATGAAAATCCCGCAAAAATCCGTCATGTCGCCAAATGCATAGATGATTTCATTGTTAAAATTAATAGTACGACGAGATGTGATAACTCCTAGTCTAGTGGATAGTCCATAATGCGACGACTGGAAGTTGGAACTACGCTCTGCTGATTACGCACGGGAGTGTGCTCAGGCTGCCCCTTGCCAGTACCACGGACTACATTATTGCCGACTGCGTATTTCACAGGACGATGACGAATACACAGGGGACAAGGGAGTACATGTGTGTGAAAATGTTCAGGGTGAGCGCTCATTTGGAATTTCATTTGGACTCGGAGTTCCGACCACCGTTTGTGCAATACAATGTACGTCCGGCAAACCCCTCATGTGTGCTTTTCACTGTCAATTCTCATGTTACTTTTTTTTTCACTCGGAATTATCTTTCCTCTTTCTCTTGACTCTCGGCGGTGCTTCCAAGTTCAGAAGTATTAGGGAGACTTCAAGAATTTTATTAAACTAAAAATCAACACGAAAGTTTTCATGAGTTGAGAACTGATCCATGAAGAAAACTATGGGGAAATGGGAAGAAAATATTAGCGAGACTTTAGGGATTTTTTAAAATTAAAAATTGACCCGAAAGTTTTCATGAGTTGAGAATTGAGTGGAACAATTTTTAGGGAAATTTAGCGAATAATTTTTAGAATCATTCGTGGAATTGATTCGCCATAATTTTTGTGCGAAAATTTCTTCAAGATTTGTGCGAACATTAGCCTAAAATCTATTAGAGGTGTACGAAAAAATATGCAATGAAGGAAAATTGGGGGAAATGGGAAGAAAGTGGGAAGAAAATATTAGCGAGACTTGAGGGATTTTTTAAAATTAAAAATTGACCCGAAAGTTTTCATGAGTTGAGAATTGAGTGGAACAATTTTTAGGGAAATTTAGCGAATAATTTTTAGAATCATTCGTGGAATTGATTCGCAATAATTTTTGTGCGAAAATTTCTTCAAGATTTGTGCGAACATTAGCCTAAAATCTATTAGAGGTGGCTAAAAAAAATATGCATGAAGGAAAATTGGGGGAAATGGGAAGAAAGGGTCATTTCCCGGAAATTTTCCTAGTGGAGTAATTTTCGGTGGTTACTCCTCAGGTTTATTTCGAAGATATGGATTATTTTCTCTTGTTCGATCTTTCATAGTGTGTGACCACTGATTTTCCGAAGGTCAAAACCTAATGTGGGGCGGTGAATTCGGCCCCCGGAAATAACGATTCAATAGTGTGTGGATTCCGAAAGAGATCAGGGCTCTGGCCCGGAACGGGAGTGAGCGTAATCAACCGTGAGAATGGGGCGAATGAGCTAATTGAATTTCTCCAGCCACATCTCCATTTATCGCATCGACGAATCCAGAAAATTGTCAATTTTCGCAAGATTTTTTTCTCTTTAGTATTTACAGTCTCAAAACTGAAGTATCCGTTACATTATTTGCACACAATTGAGATTGAATGAATACAGAGATATTCCAAATAAAGAAAAAAGTGTTAAAAATTAAAAAAAGTTTTTAAAAAGTGTTAAAAATCACTGAACAGAGAGGAATGAAAAAAACGCACTGTGTTTACTCATCAATAACTCGAGAACTGCAGAGTGGAATTCTCCGATTTTTTCTTCATTCTCAAGATATTTTTTTAAGCTTTAAAACGAGACGTGGCTCATTCAAATCGCGTCATTATCTCCGGAGATATTGACGATTGAGGATCATTCGCTTACCCCACTCTCCCTTAAGGTAGTGCATACAAAACTTAAATTTTGAAAATAAAAATCTCAAATAAATTCTAAACGGAAGTTGATATGAGTAAAAACATTCTGGTTGAGTTCGTGCTCAATTGTCAGTCCAGTACTATTAATAATAATTAATTCAGAAGTGGCAAAATAACACAGTCTCATGGGAAAATCATTTTTTCGAGATTAGAGAGAAGATTAAAATATAAAAAAAAATTATGAAAGTTGGAAAAAAATGAATTAAAAATTTTCAAACTTTGTCAAGCTTTTGTGATAAATAATTTATGTTTCTGAGTACCTCGAGTGCCCTAGATAAACGAGCAACTATTGTTTGAGGAAAATAATTCTAGAGAGAATTTGACGAATTAATTTTTCCCTCTCCTCAAAGCTGGCATTCACATAAGAAATTATCAATGACGAATAATTTCCTTTCGGGCACTATAAATTTACTTTTCCTCACTGCACTCAACGACGTAAAATCGAAAAGATAAAATTCGTCAGAACCGAGGATGAAAAAAAATTACTCACGTCTGTGTCGTTCAAGGTGACTCCCGATGCCCCGAGGATGATGGAGTTCCATCCATGGATCAAGCGGAGAATGGTGTTAAGGGGTTACAACTGCGAAAAAAAATGACGATATTGATTCGAAATTTGTGTAGGAAGCTCATAATAATCGCTCGATCACATACGAATTTTTCAATAATTTTTCTGAATTTGGTTTCAAAGTTATTAGCAATATACAACATACATGTAATTAAACATTTAAATTGAGCATGTTTGGACGAATGTATTCAATTTACGAATAAGTAATTAAATAACGAACAAATAAACAAATGAATAAATAAAAACAAATAAATAAATAATAAACAAATAGACAAATAAACAAGGAGAGTCATCCTGAAGTCACATAATCACTCCAGTTTCTCTGCCCGAAAAAATTGAATTCGAAACCGCAAAAAATTCCCAAAAAATTCATGCGTAATCCATCTGTCATTACAAACGTCCCACGTAAATTCCAGATTAACGTCATCATTTACTTGATCGATCGAAATACCTTAATCTATGAATGACCGGTAAAATAGATAAATATGGGGCTGATTTTCCACTGGAAAAATACGGAGCGCCGTATGAGTGACGCGAGTAACACCTGTAATCAAACTGACGATGGAAATCGGTGTGAACGTAATGATAGGCCCCGATGAGAGTTGCGGGCATCGTCGGGGGGCACACAAGTGTCCTCACGGTGTACCAGCGGGGGTAAACCCGTGGTAAAACGAATTTTTCGTGGAGTGGTGGGGTGAGATGAATTTTTCTGGCCTTGTGGAGCAGCGGATGTCGATTCCTTTGTTTT